ACATGTCTTTATCTATAAAACAAAGATAATCACCACCTTAGACAGTTACTATGAAAGCTAAACAGGATAATATATATTAGCACGGTGTGAGTGGGATCAAAATCACCCAGTGATTTTTTTCCCAACTCTTCAGAGCTGGCCTCCTCCCAGGAGAGTCCAATATTTGAGAGGGGCTGTATACTTAGTTCCCCGTCTTATTTTGCTATTTGGGCCTAAGTGGCCCACCAAAGTGCCCCTAAACGCCTCTACTGCATCTACTAGGAAGATCCCTGCCTCAAGTTGTTTACAATCTTTGACAGGGACAGACATGCCAGTAGAGGTGTTCTCTTCCCTAAACCTGCCTTGGGAGTTCATAGGAGACATCTCAGAGAAAGTCATTTTTTTGTGTGTCTGACTAAGAATTGAAGATGGAGATGGCAGGAAAGAGGCTTTCCAGAAAAGAGAGCTGAGAGAGCTTAGTGTGACGGGGACAGTAACACATGCAGAGCGTAGGAGACAAGGTCAGACAGGTAGGCAAGGGCCAGACACCCAAAGGGCCTTGTATTCCATGCAAGTCAGCTGATGTTCCTCAGGTGTGGCCAGCCCTTATGTGCTTCAGGGCCGAGCTTAAAGGTCGCCTTCCTGACCATGGCCTTCCCCTCCCCACGCCCCTGCACACCGTTTCTCTGTGCCCTCTTATAGCACCACGTCCTTTTCCATTATGGCCCTTATCACACTTGTGGTTACATGATTATTAGCGTGACTAATAATCTGTGCCCTCCACACGACTAATGGTAAGTTCAGTCCATTTAAGGCCCATGTCCATTTTATTCAGCTCTGTATCCCAGGGCCTGCCGAATACAGCATCTACCCAAAATACATAGATACATTTTATTAAATGAACAAATGAAAGCTGGCACTAACAAGCCAAAGAAGACTCCTGAGCTGGGGAACGGCAATCAGAAGTGACAGTTAAACGAAGCGCTCTGGCAGCAAAGTGAAGATCAGACCGGAAAGGCAAGCCTCGAGCTGGGAGACAAGTACAGAGACTACTGAAAACGTCTCCCGGTAAATGACTACTTTGACTTGAAAACACGGGCAGCTAGCATCTGGGCAGTGACGATGAGGACGTCACGGAGGAGACACGTTTAGGAAGTAGAATCCAAGAACTCAATGCCCAGCGGGAAAAGCAAAGAAGGAAACCTGGAATGACTCTGGCAGAGAATGGAGCAGGTGGTGCCCTTCACCGACACCAGGGACACAGGACAGGAACCAACACTTCCTGAACAGCTACTGCATGCTGGTACAGAGAGGAAGATTTGCTTCTAGTTCTGAAATTCTACGACCGAAAACAATTTAAATCCAACCCAGCTGTACTAAAATGGGTACGGTTTCTATTAACAGGGTAATAAAATCAACAAACTAAAGTTTAGATTTTTCAAGTTCCTTCATCAAGTTACTTCTTGGGTACGCTGACTATACACAAGGCACAACTCTGTCTGGTCTGGGGATGCAGAAATCAAAGAAGTGGTCTCTGCCTTCAAAGAGCTGACCATCTTTTGGGTTTGAGAAAGATAATCTCATGTCGACAACTAAGAAACTGAGGCCGAGTAAGGCTAGGATGTGATCAGTTACATGTCCTGTAACCCACACTTCAGGAGCACTAATTTCATAAGCCACATGACACTTCTGGGCCAATATGTAGTTGAGGGAGTATGTGTTTGGATAAATGATAGACCTGATCTTACTTTGAGCCTGGAGACACTCTGGGACTGAAAACATCACAGTGCATGGGCAGATGAAGCCCTCTGACTTTGAAGCAACTGCTGAGTAGCGACGTGACAGCAGTTTGTTGGGGGCACGTACGACACAAGTAAGGAGGAACAAGGCCTCATCTGTCATGGAAGAGCCTACCTGAGCAGAGGCCAAGTGCTGGAGGGACCAAAGCAGAATCTCAGGAGGCTCTGGAAGTGACAGCAAAGAAATAAATGTTCAGGGAAAGTGAAGTAGGAATCCTCATTAGACAGCTTCCTCCCTTACCACTGGCAAGAAATGGTTTCCCATGGGATATAAGGCCTCAACCCAAAGCAGCTGTACAGAAAAACAGATGAGGAAACGATCCACAGTGTGAATAACGTAGCTCAGATCACCCAGGACAGACAACTTCCAGTGCTCACTCAGGAGGCCACTGAGTCTGAGAGATTCTACACCAGCACTTCGCAAACTAAAGCAAAACACCAAAACACTTCCCCTCCATGCCCACAGCTACTGCCCCAGCTCCCCCAGCTTCCTTTTCATGTTCTTTTTAAAAAAAGAACAGCTGCACGGTCTCTACCTCTGCAACTCCCTTTCACCCACTTGGATCGAAGTCCTCCCTCCACCACCTGACCTTGTCTTCTCATCCTCCCTGAACCATCAGAGCCCTTTCCCCTTTTCTCTGCCTGGGAACTCTACCTGTTCTTTAAGACCAGTTCAACTGTCACCTCCTCCATGAAGCATTCCCACATCAGATTGTTCCTTGCCCCATCTCTGTGCCTTTACGGGGTTTTCGCCTATGCCTCACCACAGCATTCATCGGATCCTATTGTTACTGTTTACCTCAGTGTCCCCAATAGCCTGTAAACAACTAAAAGCAAAAACTGGTTCTTATTCATTTTTCTATTGCTACCCTCTAACCCAGGGCCCCCAAAACAGAGAAACAAAGGCTCCATAAATGAACATAGGTTAAGTTTACCTTCAAAACTGCTGGAATTCACTTAACTTTTCCACCCAAGTTGCTCTAAGAATTTACCTGCACTACACGCACACTGGGAAGTACCTAAATTCTGAATAATAATTTTCTTATAAAAGCATCTTGGCCAAAACTCTACTTTTTGGTTGTTAAGCAAACAGCTGGCATGCAGTTATATCAAGTCTTTAGAGTTCCTCATCTATGTTTAATTCCTAAAATCCTGTCCACTTGCACTCTTTTCTTCCTGGGCAGTGTAATGAGCTTGTAGGCTCAGACAAGCGGCTACGAGGAAGAAATCAAGCCTTATTTATACCGAGGCTTAGAACCACGACTGCTCAACATCTCCAAAAAAACATAGCTTTTTTCCTATTTAGTTTCACTTTCTATATGAGCGAAACACCCATAGCAAAGTTTAGACAAATAGTATTTCCTGCCACCAGTAAAAATACTAGGAAAACCCTTCAATTTTAATAAGGACATTGAAAAGCCTTCAGTTTAGGATTATGGGATTAAATTAGAACCATAAAGGCCCAATCTATATTTCTGTTCTAGAAAAATAAACATCAATATAACTTCTGAGTTCTCATGTCTTAAACGAATGGATTTTACTGCAGTAAGAAAAAATTTACTCAGAATAGTAAAAAATTAATAGAATGAGAGTGATTTTTGTGCACAAAATAAAACAATAAAAACTCATTGTGCAAACTTAGAAAAGAGAAAGGTGGCACTCAAGTTCCCTGCCTGGAAAGCCTTTTAGATGCAGTATTAGGAAAAGTAAGCAACCTGCACTTGATTTTCAGTTACTATACTGCTTCAACACGTGACCTTGGGAATGTCATGTAACTTCTCTCATTTCTAGTTCTGTAAAATGGGAATGACATCTGTTTTCCTAACAGGGAAAATTAGACAGCTGGATAAAAGAATCAATATGTATTTGTTTTGTTTGGGTTTTTTTCCTAAGAAATTTGTCTAATTAGTATGCTTTAATCACCACTTGTACAGTACATTCCTCTTCAGGAATTCAATTCCAAGAGAAATATTTAAGCAGACGCTGAAGACAGATTTCCTTAAGGGGATGATTTTATAAATCTGGAAAGCAATGTAACAAGATTATAAATTAACTAATTGATTACATAAGCTTTGACAACCCCAGGCTTTCAAGTACACTGATACACATTCTGATAAATTAGACTGGTTTGGGACTAGCATCCCAACCCCATACAAACTGAAGGAACCCAAACTGAGGTGTCTGATGTTTGACAGGAATTCGGTGGAAATTCAACAGGATGCCCAACATCTGCAGTTTCATCACTTGGCAAGCCATGCTTCACCTTTCACCATAAAATGTTAAAGGCATTAAGACAGCTTTATCACCTGTTTCTAAGACTTTGAGAATGCGCTCAATTAAATGGAAGGGGGAAAAGTAGCTCGACAGAAAGATCCTATATCCTCAGATGTATACAAATCTAAGAACCCCACTGCTAAATTCTCCCCAAATGCTAGACTTGAACCGAACTCCCTATGAAGCCATGGGATTGCATCTGATCCAAGTGTCAGGAACAACATAGCTCCAGGAACCCTCCCAGGATAAAAGGCTGTCACTTTCCTTGGATCCCAGGTCCAAGTAAAAGTCAGGAAGGTTTTTGTAAAAAAGGTCCAGAGAGAAATCAACAGGCGATGACTATGGAAAAGAACGGAGGTTTCCCAATCTGAAAAATTCTAGCTCTCCCTCAGGAACGACACCGCTCCTCCTTCCTTACCCCACTGCCCTTCCTATACAGACAACAATATCTCCATTCCATTGTAAGGCTGCAGTTTTACCGAGGAACCCCCTTGCCGCGGCCAGATTGCTAGATTCGTCGGAAAAAGGAAACATTCGGAGAAGAATACACGCCCCGCGAGAGAACCTGGGCGCGGGGAGCCCGGCCGGGGCGCGGGGCCCGCGGGCGCCGCACTCGGCCCGCTCCGGGGCGGGGCGCGGGGATGCGGACGCCTCCCGAGGTGCCGCAATCCCGCCGCGGCCGCAAGGGCAGGGCCTCCGGGTGCCAGCGCCGGCCGCCGCAATGACGGGTCCCGCCCGGGCCCCGCCGCCAGGCCGCGCCGCCGCCACCCGGGGCCCGCGTCCTCCCGGGCCCGCGCTGCGGCCGGCGCGGGGAGCGCTGAGCGCGCAACTTACTTTCCGCGGGCGGCGGGCGCCCCGGCCCGGGCTCCCAGCCCGGCGACGGCGGAGGCCGGCCCCACACCCCCGCCCATGCCGCCGCGCCGGGCCGCGCTCTGCGCTCGCCCCTACCTCAGCCGGCAGGCGGGCGTCCGTCCGCAACGGCCGCGGCGCCGACGACTCCCTCCCGGCCGCCGAATCCCCGCACCCAGCGCTAATCATAATACCGAGCGAGCGGCCGGCCGCGGGAGGGGTGGCGGCCGCGCTGCGCCTGCGCGGGCCGCGCGTCATTGTGACGTAAGCGCCGGGGCGGGGCTGCGGGGGGGCGGGGCGGGGCGCACCTGCGCGCCCCGGCGCGCGGGCAGCTGGAGGGCGTCGTGGTGGCGTCCTGACCCCCGCGAGTCTCCGCTACGGCTGGCGGTAGGAAGCGGGCCAGGCGCCCGAGGAGGATGGGGAACGGAGGAGGAGGAAGCACCAGGGACAAGGGACAATGGCCGAGAGAAGTAGCGCGAGCCGTCGGGGGAAATCGGAGGGAAAGGACTGCATCCGCACAAGACTGCGTCCTGGGGGCGGGGGGCTGAGAGCGGCACGCACTTCACCCTTTTAAAGGTTCACCCCATCTCCCGCCAAGGAGAGGGGAAAAATTAAATATACGTGCATATATATGTACATACATATGTGTTTTTCTCTATAGTTTCTCCTTTCTGGGAACCCAATTTGAAGGAATTTTGTTGATTTTGTTGCTATTTAAATAAAAGGAGAAAAGCCCAGAGTCTGAAGGCAGTGCTGTCTGTAAAGGTCAGCGGAGACATTGGCCCAGCCAGGCTGCCTCCTCTGGAAACAGCGTGGAACAGGAAAAAGGTCGTGGAAAGAATTAAAGCTTTTGAACTCAGGGATTCAAAATACGCCAGGCATTAACCGTGGCACGAATGGTTCAGCTCCAGAAGGGAGCTTAGCGCTGGCCTGAGCGGGGGCGCGAGGAGGGACTCCCGCCTCCCACCCGTGAGAGCTTGGCGCACAATGGAGATCAGCTCTTTGGGGTTCCTGGAAGGGAGCGACGAGCCGGGTGCCAGGTTTCTCCAACCTGCTTTTCCCTTTCTGTTTCTCCCTGCTTCCACTTTTCCCCCAGGAAGGAACTCCTGGCAAAGAAGAACACCAGCAAAAAAAAAAAAAAAAACCTGCTTAGATGCTCCAAGCTTGATTAAATTGCTTAGAAGGATAAGAGAAATCTAGATGGCTTTAGCAAACGTCTTTGTTGACCTGCAAATATCAGAGCCTTTTCTTTCCCGCTCTCTACAGCATCAACTTTGCATGTCTGAAGATGACAAGAGTGGATTGTTGGGAGGTGAAACCCTCAGGGTAATAAAGTTTTCTATTAAAGGGGGACTCCCAGTTACCCTAATGCCCTAGCAAGGAATGATGGATCATTATCTGGGGAAGGCCTCAGGCTGGGCCTCTGCCCCTCAGGGCTGAGTCAAGGCCCCACCTCTGGGACCACTCTGATTTAGAAGGACCAGAAAAGAATAATCTCAGTTTGACACAGACATTCTCACTCGAGCAGTGTGTGAAGCAATGGCTCCTAACTTGGTTGGTGGAATTCGTTCCTTTGTTGCTGGAAAACTGGAAGGCCCTGCACTTTTCCCCTCAGGGAGATATCACTATTCAGGGAACCCTGTAGCCAAGTAAAGGGAAAAAATACCACCTTAATGGTCTCCCAAGAGAATTCCAGTGGTTGAAGGCCTCCTCTGCCAGGTCTGTAGCCCCTGAGAAATAACAGTAACCACAAAACAATGGCCATAATAAATAAGCCCTGGGAAAATAGAGCATTTATATTGCTGCTGTGCAACTCAAGTTTTGAATAAATTCTATAAGGAAAACAAGGGCATAAGAATGGCAAAACAATAAATGAAAAGGAACAGAGTAATAAATTGATTTAAATAAAGTCGGCTCCAACTCCCTTCCAGAGAGAGGGGTGCAGAACTGGCCATGTGGTAAATCATTTATTCATCCCCAGTGTTTCTTGGGAAGCTGGAGTGCTGCTGGCAAGAACATGACCCGTTTTCGGTTCCACACCATAAATGTGGTAACATGATCTGATTATGCTTAGGTAAGATTTAAAAATTTTCAAGTACAAATTAATATATTATTACTTAACTTTGAATTTAAGCAAATATGTTTATTGTTGATGAAGAAACCCCTTCTTCAGTCTGCCCTGGGGCTTTCTCCAACACAAACTGCTTTTTTAATGTTAGGTCTTTTTATGGACCTGTAAGAAGCTTTAATTAGATATACAGCACTCTACAAAATGACAAGATGGAGCATGCAGGCTTGTATTACAGTCTCTGTGATTCAGATCTCAAAAATAACATAATGCCACTGATTTAAGGAAGAAGTTGTTTATTGGAAGGCAACCAGGGAGATGCTACAAATTGGATCAAGATGTGAAAAGCAAGCAGATTCATGAAAGAATTGCCATTTTCATCTTGGGACCCCCCCACCCCGACCCCAAAGCAGCTTGTGTAACAAGGTTAATCTTCTCTAGATATTGTTAGTTTTTGTAATTTATAAAAAATTTAAAAATATTTTTAAAACAACAGATATTGAGTGTTCATGTACAGTTCAGTTTTGAGTTGTGACATTTTATTTAATGATTTCCTGTTACATATTTAATTAGTCATTATGTACATTGATGCTTGTGCATTTCTAAATCCTGGCTTCATCCCATTAGGACCAAAATAATACTTCATTGGAATGGCCTAAAGAGCTCCTCAAAGACTTTCCCTCACCACCCCCTTGGCATCAGTTAGCATCTCTAACTCTCTTATCTCAGGTGTCAGTTAAGGCCAGTGTGTGTGTGTGTGTGTGTGTGTGTGTGTGTGTGTGTGTGTAATAAACTTTTGATTGTTGCCAACAAGGATTGAAAATGCCAGCCCTTAACTCTGCTTGTTTGCAACCTAGGAGGCATGGCAGACCTTGCCTGGCATTGAATCCCAGCTCCATTGCCAAGAGCTATAGGCTTTGGGCAGGTTGCTTAACATTCTATCTGTTTGTTTCCTCCTTTGTAAAATGGGGATAATGGTGATGATAATGACAACTTTCTTATAAGGCTGGTGTAAAGCAGTGGTTCTCAGGGTGTGCTCCCTGGACAGCAGCATCAGCTTCTCCTGGGAATGGAATCGAAATGCAAATTCTCAGGCTCCACTCCAGACCTACTAAAGCAGAAACTGTGGCTTCTCTGTTTTAAGAAGACTTTCAGGTGACTGATACAGGATAAAGTTTGAGAACCACTGTTGATGGGATTAAAAGAGTTTGTATAAAGTATTAAAATAGTGCCTGGCACACAGTAAGCAGTATATGAATATTTTTTAAATGAGTGCAGTATGATGTTGCCAAGATATACAAAGTTTAATTTAGGCCAAAAGAAGGATGCCCATGTTCCTACAACAAATAAATTCTGCTTAATCGTTTGTCCAAAGACTTTAACATGGCCTGCACAGCCCCTCATGATCTGGCCCCTGCCTTCCTTTCCTGTTCTTTGTCTTCTCCTTGTGCACTATGTCTCCAGCCTTCCCAGTTCTCAGAAAGGGAATTGCTTTTTCACACCTCCACGCCTTTGCCCATTCTGTTCCCTCTGCCTGGAAAGGTCACCCACCCCTCCTGCTTTTCTCCACTTCCTACACTTGCAATCTCCCGAATTTCTACTTACCCTTCAAAACCCAACTCCATTATCCAACTTCCTCTGTGGTGCCCCTGCCCGTACTCCCCTTCAGAGCCAGGAGTTCTCTGGCCCCATAAATCCCTGTATATCCCACTTATAATATTTATCATAGGGTTTTGTAACTGTTTACTGTTCCATTTTCTCCCTTTGGATCTTAAACTCCTGGAGGACAAGGATTTGATTTTATTCAAATTTCTATTCATGCCACTTAGCACTGAGGTTGCAAGTAGGCATCCCAAGGGCTTGCGCTGCAAACTTGGGGTAAGTTTTTTCACATAGGTTCTTCAAGAAGCTGAATTAGTTGAGAACATTTTAAAATTGGGAGATTTAATTTTTTTGTTTGACAGTTTTGAGGTATAATTTGCATACCATAAAGTCCACCCATAATACATGGTGATTCAGTGATCTTTAGTAAATTTATAAAGTTGTGCAACCATCATCCCAATCCACCCCAATATTTCCATCACCGCCAAAAACCTTCCTCACATGCATTTACAGTCAATTACACTCCAGTTTCCATCTCTCGGCAACCAATGATTTGTTTCCCATCTCTATAGAGCTACCCTTTCTAGAAATGTCATAGAGATGGAATCATATAATGTGTAGTTTTTGTGTCTGGCTTCTTTCACTAAACATAATGTTTGTCCACGTTGTAGATGTGTCATTTGTTACTTCCTTTTTATTGCTGAATAGTATTCCATTATGTAGACACACTAGATTTTCCGTATCCATTTACCAGGTGATAAACATCTCATTTATTTCCTCATTTTTGCTACTATGGATAATGCTGCTGTGAATATTTACGTAAACTCTTAATGGGGACATGTTTTCATTTTTCTTAGGTATATGGCTGGGTGGAATTGTTTCAGGTTACTGCTCTATGTTTCACATTTTAAGGAACTGATAAATTGTTTTCTGAAGTGACTGTACCATTTTACATTCCCCCCAGCAGTGTGTGAGGGTTCCAGTTTCTCTACAACCTTGCCAACACTTAGTATTATTAGACTTTTAGATTATCGCTATTCTAATAAATGTGTAGTGGTGTCTCATTGTGATTTTAATTTGCATTTCCCTAATGACCAATGATGTTGATCATCTTTTCCTATGCTTTTTAGCCATTCGTATATCTTCTTTGGCAAAAGGTCTATTCAAATCTTCCGTCCATTTTTATTTATTTATTTATTTTTATTTATTTATTTTTTTTTTAAGGATTGGCACCTGGGCTAACAACTGTTGCCAATCTTTTTTTTTTTCTGCTTTATCTCCCCAAACCCCCCCTGTACACAGTTGTATATCTTAGTTGCATGTCCTTCTAGTTGCAGGATGTGGGACGCCGCCTCAACATGGCCTGACGAGCGGTGCCATGTCCGCGCCCAGGATCCGAACCCTGGGCCTCCGCAGCAGAGCGCACGAACTTAACCACTCGGCCATGGAGCTGGCCCCTTCTGTCCATTTTTAATTGGGTTGCTTGTCTTATCAAGTTATAAGAATTTTTGATATATTTCAGATACAAGCCTTAATTAATATATGATTTGCAAATATTTTTTC